AGAGAGAGAGAGAGAGAGAGAGAGAGAGAGAGAGAGAGAGAGAGAGAGAGACAGACAGACAGACAGACAGACAGACAGACAGACAGACAGACAGACAGAGTATATAAACATTAAAATCTTGTAGACCCCCCAGGAATTCAAAGTCGTAAAACCTTGCATTTTCTCTGAAATCATGAGAATCTTCAATTTCAAGTGTACTTGCTGCTTAAAAAATATAATAATACCAATGGTGTCCTTGAGTGCCAGACCATTCCCCCATTGCTCAGCTGAACAAGCTCGAAACCTTCAGTCCTGACGTCACAAATGATACCCTACACTCTACCCGGAATAAATAAGGTCAACTATTCCGTTTGTAATAAATTATTTGCCAACTAAAGAAAAAACGGGCATAGGCATGGGTTTTTTTTCTTTGGGAAAACGTGGAATCCTTTTCCTACGGACAGCCGTTTTCCTTAGAACTAGGAAAGTGTGACTTCATGCCCGTTCTTTCATCCGTCTGCATTTGTTATGTTTTGTTTCACTAAGCTGGCAACAGAGAGCTTTTTAATGTTGCAATCCAAGCTCTCCTGAAGCTCAACAACATTTTCTTATTGAATAATGTAGACCTACTGCTTGTCCTGGCTTCAACTATCTGCAAATTCGTTCTTCTATATGTTATGAAATACATTTTCAATGAATAGACAATAATTTGTTTATAAGAATGATAATTCAGCAAGAATGTATACAATACATTATAGTATATATTGCTACAACAGGAAGACTTGGTACATAACAGAAATATACTTCATATCATACACAAAAGTCATTTTATTCAACAATGAATGAGTGAAACCCAAAGCTATCATGTCTGCAAAAAATAACATTATTAACCTTTTTCTGCTTGAGATAAACACCTTTTTTTCATTTTGAGTTCATCGAATCTTTCGAATGGTCTACAAACGGCAGAACACGTAATTGCAAATTGTTATATTAACTGCCAAATTTGACCTCCATCAAAAACGTTCAAGGCGTTTTTCTAAAAAAACATTTTCTTTTTTCTTTTTTTGCAGATATGACAGACTTGCATGATGCCCGCGAATGATAACACACCTGCACTCAAAATGCCGCTAAAACCCTTTTACAATCAGGTATATAATGGAAACCTCCACGCCACAACTGAATGCCTGGAAACATCACGTCTACAAGTCCAAATCCTCAAATATTATTGAATTGTTACATACTTTTTATTGAGCTGACTTCCCCTCACATAGAAATAGTACACACGATACTGTGTGGCTAGCTATGACACGAGAAGGAAAGGAGAGAAAAGGTGCAGTTGTCTAAAGCCCTTAATACCATATCAAAAATAAAGAAAAAAACGTTTTTTTTCCCCGTTTCACTCCATTCGAATAAAATGGACTTAAACTCCGTTTTGTTTTCAGGTCTTCAATTTCTGACGTTCTTGTTTAAGGATATAGAGCAAGTATTTTATGTACAATCTTCTTTACACTATTCACAATTTTATTTTCGGCTACGATTCTTTTTGCCTGTTTTATGAAAGCGAAAAAAATCAAATAAAATGTAGGCTCTAATGAACAGCGACTGGATGGAAAATATTGCCCACAACAACTATTGTTGAAACATAGCTATATAAGGTAACATTATATTATATACGTTAACTGTTTATATGACACACAGTATTAAGAAAATATGTTATATACTGTACACACAATATAAATGGTTCCAGTTTAACGCAACTGTTTTCACATAATGCAATCCTTTTTTTTGCATCTTCTTCAAAATGGGATAGAAAACTGACTTATGCAACACAATCGCATTCGGAATGCCACTTATCGTTGGAAAGCAAAAGAAATAAAGTAAAAATAAAGTAGGCCTACCCCTCCCCCTCCACATTTTGAACTGCATGATACAAAGCATAACGTTCAGGGTTTCAGTGGGTGGTCACTGTGGGTTTGCAGTTATGCTTCGCAGGAACAAGAAAAAGTGGATTGGGATTTTCGGTATGTGTATAGACATTGATGCAGATGGGGA